AGCACACAAACACAGATTTCTCTTCACCACCACTACCCCGCCCCCAATGCACACGAACTCTATAAGGTTCTCATATACACACAGAAACATTCGGCCAGTCTTTGTTTCTTTCATATACTCGAAAACTGCTTTATCCTCAGGAAATCTCTTAGTGCCCTAGGATTTAGAGCTAGGGAGGGGGTGGTGGTAGAGCATCTAATCCGACTGCCTCATTTTCGGATGAGGAAACTGACCTGCCTCAGATACCCTGGTAGTAAGCCCTGGGAGAACAGGGCCTGGAATCCAGCACCTCTGACTACAAATCCAAAATTCAAAGCTGTACTATGCTCCAGACAAGAGAGATAGCTGACCCTTGGAGATCTCACCATTCGTCGCCACTGGTCGAGTCCCTGAGCCCTCACTTTCTACTTCGAGGGCTCCGAGTTCGCCCTCTGACGTATTCTGGAAGTTGGATCTTCCTATTCCTCGGGGGGAAAAAAAGTAGCTGCCACTCACTGCCAGTCGAAAACAGCAGAATTGGCATGGAGAGGTTTGGTGGCAATTAACTTCCCCTCTCTACCGGACAAGAGAGAAGGAGAGAGAGGGAGAGAGAGAGGGAGAGGGAAAGGAGTGGGGAGGAGGGAGGAGGAGAGAGAGAGAGAGAGGAGGGAGGTAGACATAGAAAGAGACACACAGAGAGACAGAGAGAACCCCTACCCCATACCCACCAAACACAAGCACATTAGCGAATACACTCCATAAGGGTATTGCCAGGAGACAGGGAGAAGAGGTGGACAATTTGTTCTCTGGCCCTCCGACCTCTCCCTGGGACTATTCATTCCAGCCTCAAGCCCTGGGTTACCCTGCCATAATCACAGACCACGCTTGCTTCCCTCCCTGCATCTCACAATTTTGCTCTCTGTCCTGTCCTCTGGAATCTACATTGAGAGGAGAATATGCCCAGCAGATCTGGCCTGGGACAGGGCTTGTGTGTGACACTAGATCTGTGACATTGCGGGGGTGTGACCGAAGCCTCCTTTCCCTTCCCCTCTTCGTCCATGGCTCTGTCCCTCTACGCCCCGGTTCGGCGGGAGCTCCAGTGGTGTCGGGGTAGGGTGAGGGGTGTACACTATAGTCCTTGCTGGGAATTAGACACTGCACACAGGCCGGTTGGATTGCGTTGTGGGTTCGTTTGGATTTTTTTTTTTTAAGATTTCTAATTTTATTATAAAATAAAAGCAGAAATATTTTCCGAAGAACATTCACATGAGGGTATAAACAGGGAGGGAGAAACTCGGACGGGTCACAGTCGGGGTTTGGGGTTTTGGGATTGGGAGCCTTTTTTTTTTGTTCAATTTCGCCCTGTAAAAGCGTGCTGCCCCTCCCAACCCCAGTCCGTCCAGCCGGAAAGTTAGGGAGGTCCAGTCCAGGAGCCAGATCGCGGGAGATAAATTCCCGAGGCCATTTATATCAGGTTTGACTTCCTTTTAGCACTTCAAGGTTAAATACAAAAATCTTACACCTGCAGCTGGATGAGAACCTCTCCCGACCCGGCGAGGCTCTTGTCTTAGAATCAACTCCCCCCTCGACCCCCGAGGCCTCGTGTCTTCTTCCTGAAGCAGGAAGATATTTAGATAACTTGGGGAATCAGACAGAGAGACAGAGGGAGCCAGGAAGAGGGACAGACAGAAATATAAAGATTGGTCGTGATGCTAACGGGGAGTGTGAGAGGGGAAGAAAAAAGACATACTCGGAGGGTACGGACAATCAGAAGAGACAGTTTTAGAAAAAGGGAGAACAAAAAAGAAAGGCGGAAGAAAGTGAAGAGAGGCAGAGAGGGTGGGGGGAGAGAGAGAGAGAGAGAGAGAGAGAGAGAGAGAGAGAGAGAGAGAGAGAGAGAGAGAGAGAGAGAGAGAGAAACAGAAAGAGACAGAGCGGTCGAGTCTCCGGGAGGTAGCCTGGAAATGGTTAAAGTCCAGGCAAGGAAACAAAACTGCTGGTACCAGGACCAGAATTTATTCCCATCCCGAGTTTAAGAAACAGGCCCTAAAGATCTGGAAAAAAACCCACTTGAGTAAAACAACAATAACAACAACAACGAAAATAAAGACGATCATCTCCTCTTTCTCTGGTGCTGAGCACCTAGCTCCCGGCCTCACTTGGCCCTGGCCCGACCCCTTTAAGACGTTATCCCATTCCTGTCCAGGGTCTTTACAGTACCTTCTCCAGTACCCGCCGCCAGCCCACGGCCCTCGGCTGACAGAGCGGCTTCTTCTCATCACTTTGCCTTCTTTCATTTCAAAAATACAGTTGCCAATCTAATAAAACTTTGTGGAATCAAAAGAAAGGGCGGGCAGAGGGCGAGAGGGGCTTGGACATGGAGAAAGGTGGGGGCCTGAGCAGGGCTGACAGGAAAGGAGCCGGACCAGACTGCGGTAAGTGTCTCTAAGAGCCCAGGTCCACCAGGTTGGCAGACATGGGGTTGAGGATGGAGTCCTGCAGGCCGTGGTGATGTTGCAGGGGGTCTCCGCTGGGGACTGGAATAGCGCTGGGGCCTTGCGGATGGCCCAGGCTGTGGAGTGGCGGCAGTCCTGGCGGCGGCGGGCTCAACAGCAGCGCGGGACTGGAGGAAGAATGGTCCGGGGTCCCCGACGGCGTCTTCTCGTCTTCCGAACTGCCCAGCACAGACTTGCCGCCGCCGTTCAGGGATGTGGCAAGTGGATTGTGGCTGTTGGAGTTGGAGTTTTCGTTGTTTTCCCTGCAAGACGGGGAGAAGAGAAGGGGGGGGGGGGGGCAGAGAACAGAGTGGAGAATAATTTGAAGGAGCTCTTTACAATCCAGTCCCTGGAAAATTGTGACTGGGACCAAGAACTTTGGGCTCTCTTAACACATTCCCACTGCGTGGCTTTTCCTCCTGATAGTATTTTCTGGGGTATTGCTCCAATCTCTCTCCTCTATCTCAGCTGGTGCTCTTTTGTGTCTCTCCCCCATCTGACTCTCTAAGGTGTCTAGTGCCTCTCTCTCTCTCTCTCTCTCTCTCTCTTTCTCTCTCTCTCTCTCTCCCTCCCTCCCCACTCATCCTGATGGCCAAGGCAGCTGACTAGCGGGCTCAGTGGGCCTTGGGTGCCTCCTGCCACCCAGAGCTGGGCACCAGACCTTGGTTTCCTTTCCACACTCATTTCCCAAACCTTGGCCACATTTTCTTTAAGGCTTTCGGGGGAAGGCTCTCCTGGACCTTTCTAACCCTCCTGCCTCTCTCTTTCCTTCCCTTAGGCTGGAAGGAAAGTGGAAAGAGGGAATCTAAATTCCTTTCTGCCTAAGAATGTAGTTCTCTGGGAGCAAGGACTCACTCCAGTAGTTAATACTCACATGGAAATTGGGAATGAGGAATTTTTTAGAAGTCCTGAGACTGACCCATGTTGGAGTGGCTTAGGGCTGTGGCCGGGATTACCCTTTTCACAGAGCTAGGACAGGCTGGGTGCAGGCCAAGATCTGCCATGAGCACCAGGCAAACCTGACCTCCTTGCCCAGACTAACTAGGCCCTGAGGGGGGCCTGGCTATCAGGATGCCTTCTTAGGCTTCCCCTTCAGACCTATTTCATGAGCCTTACTTAAAGCTCTGGAATTTAACTCTGTCTCCTTTTTCTCTTTTCCCTGTATGTCTCTGTTACCTTGTCTCCTTTTGGGCCACAGATTTCAGGTCACCCTACAGGCCTTTAGGCATTGACAGATTAGCTTAATTAATTCCTCTCTGATTTCCTTTAGGCCCATGGAGAGAACTCTAGGGAAGATCTTGCAACAAGAGGCCAGGCCCCAGTCTTTTCAGGATCCAGAAATCCAGAAAGTCCTACCTCGAAGAGAGTTGAAGCGCTCTAGGCAAGAACAAAGATCTGGGTTGGAATAGCTGAACTCCACAAAGGGAGCCTCCCAGGTTCATCCAATGCTCCTATGCTCCCAGACCCTCCTGAATGCTTGGCCTGTGAATCTACAATGTAGGCTTTACCCCATGGAGTCATTCCCCTAGGGTCCCTTTTTCTTTCATTTTGGGAGGACTGAGGTTCCCCAGAAAAAGACTCTGGCCTGGCCATCTCTGTCCTTGAAGCCTTTAGTTTTGTGAACAATGTCTCTGGGGAGATCTGGGGAAATTTGGAAACCTATTTCTCCTGGTGATTATTAGCCTGCTATTTTGGGGAATAAGCCACCCATTTTCCATGTGTACATTCTACCAAAACCCCAAAGTGATTAGAGTTGTAATCTCCAACCATTGGTAATCACAAATTCAGGAGTGTTCAGGACTAATAGAGAAGAACTGTGGGGTGGGGTATATCTTGGATTTCCATGGTGGGGCCCACACTTCTGATCTCATTAAGACCCTGGTATATTAATACATTTTTGGATCCCCACCAGGCCCTCTACCACTCTCAATCAGGGTACTTTTTTGCCTTACAGGGGCTTCCAATGCAGAGAGAACTCCAGAACAGAAAAGTGTGACATTTGGTAGAGTAAGGCCCAGCAATGTGAAAAGCCCATTTGATCTGAAGCTGAGTGGCCTCTGATCAGACAGAGGGCACAGGCAAAAAGTTGTGAACCAAAGCTCCCCCTTCCACCTCCCACTTCCAGGGCCTAAGGACCTACTTAGCTTCTCAGCTGAGTTCTGGCTTGGCATGGATGCTTCCTTTTAGCTCACTGACTCTGTTTCTCCAGGTTGCCATGACCTAGTGCCTGAGCCTCCCTAATGGCCTGAAGTCCCTCTATTACCTGGAACTTTATGTCCTTTTTAACCTATGTCCTCTTCCCATGTGGAGACTGCTTTTCTGAGGGAAAAATAAATCCAGAAAGGTAGCTTGGTCCAAAGAAAAATTTCCTGTCCTTTCCAAAGTTCCTGATCCTCAGTATTTGATTCTTTATATTTATCCTAGGGACTTGACACTATTGTTTACTTTCATACCTTTGACTTCAGCTCCCTCCATCACCTTTGCTATCCTGTAGCTCCCTGTTAGCCTTACTTTAATTATTTATGCTCTCTTTCTATCAACTTAACACTGCACCCCTTTTGCCATCTGAACTCTGGGTTTATGCCCTTCCTTCATCATCCCATTCTCTGAATGTCTTCTTCCCCTTTCTGTTAAGCATAGTGGACACACAAGACCCTGTGGGGTGTCCAGGGTGCTCGGCCTTGGTCTGGTTCAAAGTATTCAGTTCTTGGTGCTCTAGGAAGGACCTGACATACATCTAGATGTGGGATCCCTCTTCAATGAACTTTTCAACCTACTTCACCAACAGACTGTCCTACCTACTACCTTTAGTGGGGCCCAGCTAGAGAAGAGACTAGGGCCAGGGAGGAAAGATTGCCCAAATTCAATAGCATTACCGTGCCAATGGGACATTCAGGCCCAGTTAGCTGAGAAACTTCTACTTCCCCTTATTGGACAGGCCCTTCTGTTAAAGACCTCTGAGTCCTCTGAAATCTATACCAAGGTAACATGGGGTCTTCCCTCCTTCCAACTTCTCCTCCCCTTTAGGAATAACTTCCAATAGGGACACACACACACACACAAATACACATATACATACATATACATATGTATATATATATACTATATATATGTACACACACACAGAGAGAGAGAGAGAGAGAGAGAGAGACCTGCTTCCCTCTTTTCCTTCCTCAATATATGAGTTACTGAGATGCCAGATCTCAAGGCACAATAATTTGGTCTTCAAACTTGCTCTTACCTGCGGATGTGTTTCCATAGGAGCGAAGAAGAGTCACTCCTGAAATTCAGCTAACCTAGACAGCCTAAACTCAATCCATAATTCCAAATCCATTCAGTTATGACCATAACTCTCTCATTTCTTCTATCATTCTATAAGGACCTCATTCACAAGGAAGAGTCTGACCAAAACATTCTATTCCTAGGCCAGGGTTCAAATCCCAGTCTCCTTTCGCTTCTGAATGAGCTGCAGTGTTCGATCATTTCCCTGAGAAGGTCGTTTTTCTTCTCAGATAATCCAGACCAAAGGGTCTCTATTATCTATCTTGGTCTCTATTATCCTTAGCTATGTGTAGGTTCCTAGCTTAATTCGGCCCTGGAGAGGTGTGGGGTGGGGGTGGGGGGGTGAAAGCGCAGGGCTCACGAATTTTTTTCTCCCCAACCCGGTCCTCCCACAGTGGGGAGAAAGCGTCAGGGGTACCCCGCGTCGGAGAGCGCGAGGAGCTAGAAGGTGAAAAAGCTGTACTTACTCGTACCTTTCCTTCGCCTCCGCCGCCCGATCCCGCTGCCTCCGGTTCTTGAACCAGTTGCTGACCTGCGTGGTGGTGAGGCCCGTGGCCTCCGCCAGCTCCCGCTTCTCCCGTGGGGATGGGTAGGGGTTGTGCGCGTACCACTCCCGCAGCACGCTGCGGCTCTTCTCCTTGAAGCAGTAGCTGGTCTCCTCGCCGTCCCAGATGGAGCGGGGCAGCGGGAACTTGCGCCGCACTCGGTACTTGCCCACGGCGCCCAGGGGCCGGCCGCGCAGCTTCTCCGCCTCGATATAGTGTGCCTTGAGCCAGAGCTGCTGCAACTTGGGGTGGTTGTGAGGCGAGAACTGGTGGCTCTCCAGTATCTTGTAGAGCTCGCGGAAGTTACCCCGGTGGAAAGCGACTACGGCCTTGGCCTTGAGCACGCTCTCGTTCTTGTGGAGGTGCTCGCAGGCCGGGAGGGACCAGAGGAAACGGCCCAGTCGCTCGATGTTGCCGCCCTGCTGCAGCACCTCGCAGACGCACGCCACTTGCTCCTGCGTGAAGCCGAACGTGGGCAGCATGGACATGGTGCCGGCCACCCCGGGGCCCTGCTCACCATCCGGGGCTGCGGCCCGGGCCTGGCCCCACCCCCTGAAACCCTTCTCGGCCTGGACTTGAGGCTCCGACCTCCCGCCGCGGCCCCGGGGTGCTCACAGGGCTGCGCCGCCCTGCATCTGGGGCACCGGCCAGGCTTTCGAGGCAGCCAAGAAAGATGGGCCCAACAGAAGCAGTCGGAAAATATAACGGGGGTTGGGAGTTAGCAGGAGAGGCAGGGTGGCTGCACAAAAGAAGTTCCCAAGTCACTTTGGTAAGTCTTTGCAAGGGGCCGGGGCCCCGCGATGTCCCCCGCGCCTGTGTTTGTCTCTGGCTCCCCAGCAACCGGTGGCTTCGGCTCGGCTCCTCGCAGCTCGGCCCGGGACGCTCCTCTGCATACTCCGCCGCCCGGCGAGGTCCCGCAGCCCGCGCCTCTCTCGCTCTCCCGTCTAGCTCTCTCGCTGCTTTTTTAATAATATTATTCTAAGCGGGCATGAGCTGCGGCGGCCCGCGCCCTGATTGGTCCGGTTATCTGACCCGGGGCCTGCCTGCGCCAGACAATAGTTGGAGTCAAATTATTCGCCATGGAGACGCTGTCAGTCACCGGTAACCCGAGCCCGGGCGAGGCGGCTCCCCCCCTGGCTGGGCTGACGGATTGTCCCGCTCTGCTCCAGGCAGAGGGGCGGTCAGAGACCAGAGCCAGAGCCAGAGACTGGGGAACTCGGAGACAGACAGACAGACAGACACACACACACACACACACACAGACACACACACTTTAGAAAGAGGGAGAGAGAAAAATGAAGACAAGGGAACAGGGAAAGAAAAACTTCTGCGGTGATTGACGGGATGGATAACCATAGAGAAGGGGGAGGGAGGGAAGGCGAGAGGGGCACTAGGTGGGGGAAAGGCGGGGGAGAAGAAGATGTAGGGGGAAGAGTTTTGTGGGGGAGGCGGAGCAAAGGGGAGGGAACGAGGTGGAGAAAAGGGGAGGGGAGAAAAAAGAGCGAAGATGAGGGAGGCGGCGGCGGGGGAGGATTGTTAAAGGGATAGGGAGTGAGGAAAGGAAAGGGAGGGGAGACAGAACAAGGGTGGGGAGCCAGGGGAGGGAGGCAGTTCGGCCCCTGTCTCAGCGCAGGGGGCGGCGCTGCAGCATCACCCAGGCCCCAAGCCTCCTTCCGGCCCCTGGGCGGTCTCCCCGAGCGACCGCCACTCGCTGGGGACACAACATCTCCCCAGGGCTTGAGGCTGCTGCGGTGGAGAGGCTCCCCCTCCCCCAGCCCCCTTTCGTTGCTTTTTTGCTAGGACTTGGAGGAGGGGAACAGTAAATAAATATTCCCTCTTACGCTCAGCCTCAGGCCTCCAGATTTGTCCTGCTCGGGGTTTGAGGAGGGGATAGAGTGGGGACCACGGGGTGAGATAGTATGTCTGCAAAAGAAGCGCAGAGCCGAGTGAATCCACTTCTTGGTTTCTTCCTTCGTCTCATGTCTCTCTCCCTCCTTCCCCCTCCCCCCCCCCCCCCCCCGTGGCCCGCCCCCGCCCCCCCGCCCAGGCCCCCCCCCCCCCCCCCCCCCCCCCCCCCCCCAGGTCTGGTGGTCTCTCAGGGCTGCGTGGTCAGGCACCTCAATCCTCGACTCCTTTCTACCCTACTCCGGAGTCCAAGGGTTAGATTTTTCTTGTTGTATCTGTCCCGGTTAACTCCTGCAGTCCGTCGGGGAGGCCGCAGGTCCAAGCTAATTTAATTGGTTATGTTTTCTGCAGCTCTCGCCTGTGAGGTATCCAGACTGGAAAGGGTGAGGGAAGGTTCTACGCTTAGGGTGGCGGTGATCCGGGTAGCTCCGGCTCTGGCCCCAGGTCTGACCGGGGACATTACGTGAGGACTTTAGTCGGTGAAATGGTGCCCTGGACCTGGCCTCAAGATCCCCAACTGGAGGATCCGAGGGGAGCGAGCCCCTGGTCCAGTTCCTCTGTCAGCCCCCTTGGAGAGCAGAGAAGCGGTCCTGCTGAAGGGTCTGGGTCCCTGGAGCCGGAGCCGGAGCCGGAGCCGGAGCCAAAGCGGGAGAAACTGCTGCAGTTTCCCTGGTGGGTTACAGGGCCAGGGGAGACGGTTGTGGTGGTGAGTGATGGGGAAGGGGGATAGCTTTGGGCATGGAGCTGAGCCTGAGGGAGGAGGAAATGGCAAGGGAAAGGGAGGCGAAGGAGAAGGGGAAAGGAAGGGGCCACCTTCTCTGTCTCTAGCAGTCTCAGCTGGAGACTTGGCAATCGCTGGCGGTATTTGGGTGGGGAGGGGACCTGCTAGGTAAGGGATGCGGAACCATTAGTGCTGGCGACTCCAGAATATTTTGGGAGAGAGGGTTGGTGCCTGTACTTTCTTCAGTTGGGCCTACGGGAAGGTGCCATCAACACCTCCCAATTTCACCTGATTCCCTCGGCCTCCCTTGTTTCATTTTGGTTTTCGGGCGAGGCGGGCGAGGCGCAGACTAGAGTTGAGCGGAAATGTTCATCTGCGGCCTCTGAGTAAGCAGACCAGGCCTGGGGAAGCTAGACAGCCTAGAGACCTAAAGAGCTGCAGGAAAGGAGCGGGAGTATCCTTTATTCTTCGATCGAGAATGATAAAAGATGACGTTTAGGTAGTTCTTTGAGGATTCCGAAGTACTTTGCTCGTCCAATCTTTCCTGCACTTCCGTTTTTCGGCTTTCTCCCCAGCGGCAGTGGGGCGCGGTGGTAAGGGGGGGGTGGTAGGGAGAGAGAGGAGGGGGACCAAAGAACTACTAGAGCCCTGGACTGCTTTCCCAGTTGCTTCTAGCGCTACTGACCAGTCCACGAGGGCGGCCAGGTGTCAGGCCAGGCTCTGGAACGAAGCTTAGGGTTCTCTCCACTCCTCTTCGTGCCCCGGCAGGTCCCGGCCCAGTGGTATGGAGACCAGCGCCAGGGACAGACTACCTTCACTGAGATAAGCAGGCGTTTACCAAGGACTTAGTGTGACCAGCTTTCTTTGCCCATTTCTGGGAAAGAGCGCAGTTTCAGTAATCAAAATCCTGGGAAACCTAGGGATTCTTGGAGACTGGCCTGGTCTACTCTCGAGACAGCGTCTCCCCCTTTCCCCAGAAAATATACACACACCACGGCCACCAGGAGCAAGAACCCACAGTCCTGGTTACAACGGATTTCGTTTCTCTTTGGTAATCTGAGTGTAGCCCACCATTAGTAGCTAGCATACTAATCCCTACCTCCAAATGCACCTAGATGCCCTGACGCTCAGTCTGCATTCCTAGAGATTTCATTTGCCAAAGGTCACAGAGGCCCAGAGAAGGGGTGCAGAGCCTAGCAAAACCCAACCAGCTCTGAGTGGAGGCCGCCAGATCTTGCTACTACAGAACTGGCTGAGCATTTCTTTCCTGGCCCGTCTTGTTTTCCTAGTCAGATCTTGGCAGGTATGTCTCACCAGCAGCCAGAGGCCCTGATGATGCTGACCGCAGGAGGGGCCCAGAGTTTGCAGAGGCCTCAAACTCAAAGGCTTGTCTTTCGGTGGTCATTTGAATCCTCGGAGCAGATGTGAACCACCTCAGGATCTCTTACATGGACCTGAACTATTCCTTACAGCCTGGGGCTAGCCCAAAACTATAAAGACAGGGTGGTATAATGGGGAACCCACTGGCCTGGGAATTCTAATCAATACAGATTTAGCAGTGAGACCATGGTCAAGTCACTTACTGTCTCTGGGCCTCAGTTTGCTTATCCGTAAATTCAGCGAGTTAGGGTAGATGACCTTTAAGATTCCTTTCCCACTCTGAAATTCTCAGTCTAAAACGATCATTTGAAACACCAGTCAATACCCCTGGGCATACATTTCCCCAGGAGGGGGTGTCCTGACGACATCCCTTGGGTGCCCGCGAAGACCGATGTCCACACTTGAGGAAGTGGCAGCTCAAATGTCTTCCAGGTAGAATGCCCATTTAGTTGGGTGCTTCCACTTCCTTTCTTGAAAGTTATTCTCGAAGTTATGATCGAAGTTATTCAATAGTCCCAAGTCCTCTTCTGCTAGACAGCCCTCGGACACTTGACTGTCATCTCCTGCCCCAATGCTGAAGTGGTCTGCCAGACCTTGGAGCGCTGAATCTGGAACACAAGAGGCTTTCCTTGGCTCTGAGTTCGGCTCTCTGTCCCCTATGCCTCTCCGCTTCTTAGACGAACTGCTCTTAACAATATGAATGCTTTTAATACAGATTATTTTGGAGATCAGGAGCAAAGAAATTCGTGACTACTCAGTGTGACTGGCCATTCCTAGCCCTATTCACCAAACTTCTTGACCTAAGCAGTTTGGAAGAACTTTAGCATTGCTGTTTAAAATACCAGTATGTCCTTTCCATCTGCTCCCTGGACAAAATAATAATAACGACAATAATAAAACAAAGCAAAACAAAAAAATCCCAAGAAGAGAGAAAAGTCGTCAGCCTGGTTTCCTTGCTTGTCTCTCCGCCCTGCCTTTGTGTGCTGAAGGATTAGGAAAATTAAAAGAGCTGCAGCAAACGGGTCTGAGACCGCGGTAAGATAACCACTCCGCTGCGCTAGGAGCGCGGAAACCCTGAATGAAAAAACAAAATCAATCAAATAAACAAAAGAACAACAACAACAACAAAACCCAACCCAAAACAAACTAAAACAAAAGTAGCGCTGAAGAACCAGCGAGCTCGGAATGACTGTGGCACAATTATTGCCCCCTGACTAGGCTCCCCAGGGACTGTCAAAAGTCTCCCGGGCTTCTAAGGACTCTTAACCTGGAATAACGTTGGATTTCTATTCCCAAGGTCCGCGTCAGCCTCCCACTTGCAGGATCTAGGCGCTCCACATACTCTGAAACAGAACTGTAATCTGACCAACTTTACTCCGACGGTTTCCCGTTCAAACGGGTGGGGGAACCTGTATGCAGAGGCCTGGGAAAGAGAAATAGTTTGTATAGGTCGGGTACGGGAGAAACACTTGAACCAGGAACCACTTTCTTTCCTTC